TTGATTAGAATGGTCTAAATTCAAAGCACTGACAATACCAAATGTTGGTGAGCACATGAAGTAAAACATAACTCTCATTTGGCTGGGTATACAGTTCAATGGTAGAGCTCTTGCTTAGCATGCATAAGGCCCTGGGTTTGCTCCTCAGCACTGAAAAACAAAACAAAACAAAACCCTTTCATTCACTGCTGGTGGGAATATAAATTGGTATAGCCACTTTGGTAGACTCTTTGGCAATTTTTTTCTTTATTACAAAACTAAACATACTATGATACCACAAAAACTTGCACATGAATGTTTATAGTAATTTTATTGTTAACTGTCAAAACTTGGAAGCAATTAAGATGTCTTTCCATAGGTAAGTGGATAAATAAACTGTGGTATAGCTAGACAATGGAATATTATTCAGTGCTATAAAGAAATAAGCTACAAGCCATGAAAAGACTGAAAGAAACCAATCTCAAAAGGCTAGACACTATATGATGCGAATTATATGACATTCTGGAAAAGGCAAAACTATGGAGTAAAATAGTGATGTCAGGAGTTGGGACAGAAGGCTTAATAGGCAAAGCAGAGAATTTTTAGAGCAGTGAAAATATTCTGGATGGTATTTTAATGGAGAACACATGTCATTATAAATTAGTCTAAGCACAAAGAATATGCCACCAATAGTGAACCCTAATGTATACTACTAATTGGGTGATAATGATGTGTCAATGTAGGTTCATTAATTATAACAAATGTACCACTCCGATGAGGAATACCGATAATGGAAAGCCTATACAAAGTGGGGGCAGAGGACACATGGTTTTTCTCTGTGCCTTCTTCATTTTTAACATAAAACTAATGTAAATAAAAATTATTTAAAAAAAATAAAAAAGGGCTGGGGATCTGGGGGTGTGATATGCACACTCAGTTAATTAATTAATGAAAATAAGCAAACCCAAAAGAAATAGGAAATGTCTATCTTCAGAATGGACAAGGGCCTACTGAATTGATCATACTGAGTCTGTAACCTGCATGTGTAGATATTTAATACTGAATTGAACTGTATAAATGAACTTACTTTCAAATTAACAAGTCTCGGGGGAGAGGTGACCCAAATAATATATACACATGTAAGTAAATGTAAAAACAACTTTAAAAAACCAAAAAATTAAAAGGCCTCATATTATTCAACAGATTCAAGACTGAAAAGTATAAAGGGTCTTAGAACATTTTATGGATGCAAATTTCAGAATGTGCAAGATTCGAGAATGTAGTCTGATGTCGTTTGATCTATACGGAACAATTGCTGCTGTTTTTCTCAACAGCTGGTTAAGTATAGTCTACAGCTATGGATTGGATTTTTAATGTCAATTCTTCCTCCCTGAATTTTCTGCAGTGATTTGCTAAAAGATAATGCTGCTGATGCCAGCATTTATAAACTACTAAGCATGTTACACATATTAACTCAAAGAGTTAAAGTCCATAGACCCAAATAGGCTGAAAAGGTTAGGTGGTATTCTCAATCAAAGCCACAGGAGTAGGGAAGATTTAGTCCTAAACTCTGACAGGAATCTAAAAAGAGACACAAACATCTGAGAAAGGATCAGCTAGTAGAAATTATTGCAGTTGTAAAACTATGTACAAAGTCTAGACAAACTAAATTTATTTCTATATGATGAAAAGCCAGGTCAGACATATGCTGAGTTTTTATAATGTTCTAGAATAGGAGTAGCTATTTGAGCTAAGCCAGAACCCAATATTTTAGAGAAAGATACATAAGTATGTAAGCACAATTTGTTTTGTGTTAAAAGTCAAGTATGTCTCTAACCCTGTTTTGTTTTTTTTCTTTCTTCCTCTTCTTTTTTCCCTCAGTACTGGGGATTAAACTCAGGGCCTCATGCTTGCTACACCCCTAGTTCTTGGCATCTTCTAATGTGACAGCTAGTGTTTGAGATGAGATCTCCCAAGGACAAAGACAAAGTTCAGTTTCAGAATCCCCAAACTCTCAGGACTATGAAAATTAATCTACATACACACTACTCTCTCCCTTCAAACACTGAGTAAACTTCAGGAAAGAATAAGGGATACACTGGAACATATAGGCACAGGCAGTAACTTCCTAAATAGAACTCCAATGGCTCAGCAACTTAAGGAAAGGGCTGACAAATGGGAGTACATGAAACGAAAAAGCTACACAACAAAAGAAATGGTCACCAGACTGAAGAGGTAGCCCACAGAATGGGTGAAAATCTTTGCCAGCTGTACATCTGATAAGGGATTAATAACCAGAATATACAAAGAGCTCAAAAAACTAAATTCCCCCCAAAATCAATGACCCCACGAAGAAATGGGCAAATAAACTGAAGAGAGCTTTTTCAAAGGAAGAAGTATAAATAGCCAAAAAAACACATGATGAAATGCTCAACGTCCCTGGCCATAAAGGAAATACAAACCAAAACCTCATTAAGATTCTATCTCCTGTTAGAATGGCTATTATCAAGAACAAAAACAACAACAAATGTTGGCAAGGAAATGGGGAGAAAGGAACCCTCATACACTGTTGGTGGGAATGTAAATTACTACAACCACTATGAAACACACTATGGAGCTCTTCAAAAAAACTAAAAATAGAATTACCCCATGATCCAGCAATACCACTCCTAGAGATATACTTGAAGGAATGGAAGTCAGATTACAATAAGGACACCTGCACACCCATGTTTACTGCAGCACTATTCACAATAGCCAAGCTATGGAAACAGCAAGATGCCTCACAACTGATAAAAGGATTAAGAAATTAAGGTTTTATATACAATAGAATTTTATTCAGCCATAAAGAAAAATGAAACTTTGTCACTTGCAGGTAAATGGATGGAACTGGAAAGCATCATCTTAAGTGAAGTTAGCCAGGTTCAGAAAACCAAAGGCTGCTTGTTTTCTCTCATGTGGAATACAAGCCCAATACAATATAAGCAATATTATATATACATACAAATACACACAGACCATGTACCCAAAAGTGGGACTGGTAGAGGAGACTAAGGGAAGAAGAGAAGAAGGAAAGAAAGATAGAGAATAATAATGAAACGTATCACATATGTGTAGGAACAAGACACAATGAAGCACACTGAAAACTCATTTAAACAACATAGGATAGGCAGAAAAGGGCAAGAAAGTACAGTGGAGAGGGGTTACATTGACTTAAGCACAATGCATGTATAGGTATAATACCAAGACAAAATTCCCACCGAACAACAAACAGACACCTAAATAACAAAGTACAAGAATAAAAAACAGGTCATGCTAAGGGGAGGGCACTAATGTGAGAGGGAGGGTAAAAGAAATAAAGAAGGTGAATATGGTTGATATGCTTTCTATATAAGAATGAATATAGACTATTTAAACTTGTTGAAATCATCATAGAAGGAAGGGGAACTAAGGTAGAAAGGAGAAAAATGGAAGGGATGAACCAATATGGGATATAATACATATATACTTGGAAATGTTATAATGAAACGCCCTGTGTAGGTATCTTAAACAAACAGCAATGTCTTTAAAAAAAAAACAAAACAAACAAAGGACAGGATGGTAAGACGGGTCCTGTGTAGAGGCTGGTACCAGTGGGAAGAGAGTAAGATATAGAGAAGGGGTAAAGGAGGGTGAATATGGTAGAAATATTATGTACTCATGTATGAAAATGGACAAAATGAGACGTTGAAATTATTAAAAGAAGGGAGGAGGGAGAATTAAAGGTGAATGATGGAGGGGGTAAATTTGACTAAGATTTATTTTAAGCACTTTTGTAAAGGTCACAATGTACCACCAGTACAACAACAATAATATAACGACAACAGCAATAATAACAGACTGAGTAAAGTATGAGCAAGAAGACAAACCCAAGGGGACTAAACTGTCTTTTTTTTTTGCAGTGCTGAGTTTGAACTCAGGGCCTTGTAATTGCTAGGCAGACACTCTACTACTTGAGCCACACCCTCAGTCCTAGACCTGTCTTAATCAATTTGATGCCAACCTATTTCACTGCTTTGATATCCCCCTTTAATAGCCAAAAGATATTTAAACAAGGTCCAAGCCTAGGACAACAGTACTCAGGAATTACCAAACCTAGGCAGCAACAAGCTTTGAACAGCTTCCTATGGTTATGAGCCTCCTCCATTTTCATTAACCTTAGGTTTAGAACTTCTACTCTATACAATGTAGCAAGGTAGTGTAGCAGTGCAGCAGCCCCTTCAGTAAAGCTGGGTCTGGTTCCCACAAGATGCAGAATACATGCCTAGACAACACAAATGGCTAATTCAAATGAGATCTTCTGCCCCTCCCCTAGAAGTAGTATATGCCTGAGTCAATGCTAAGTCCATAATTTTTAAATATTCCTGTCTGAAGAAAATATATCAGTCCTTACACAGTTTGGAGGAGCACATATTCTACATGGAGCCAAGTCTCAATGCATGAAGTTATGGGCTTCAATTCTACTGTGTGAAATCAATGTTAATATGAAACAAATATTCATCTTATTTTTGTTTTCTCCTAGTCTAACGGGGTGGAGGGGAGTTAAAAGGAGTTTGGTGAGATAGAAAATTCTCTCTGTGAGCACCGATCCTTGGGCATAGTAGGACAAAATGTAAATGGACCCACACCACATGGCCCAAGATGACTAGAGCCACAACAGCAAAACACACTACAATGGAGGCTAGGAACCAGGATACACACCTGGCCCCAAGATATGACAATACTAAAAGGAATGATCAAAGAACAAGTGAAGAAACAAATAAAGAGTCAAAAGCGAACTGAAACCTCAATGCTGTCAAAAAAAAAGCGAACTGAATACATTCTCCTACAGGAAGCAAGCAAGCCCATGAACAACATATGCTTCAGTTAGCCAAGTGATATGACAATGTAATATTCTCAACACACCACAAAGTAGTAAGGAAGAAAGAAACCTGGTGTCCATGGATACTCTTTCATTCAACATTTCTTAACACTCAAGCACTAACCTGTATGGCCATGGAGTGGTGAGTGTGGCCGTGGTAGTGTAGGTGATGTGTTAGAGGTCACAATCAAGCTCTTGCGGTTACTTGTCCGACAACTGCAATAAAAACAAAACGTTGGTTAGGGCCACACCATGAATCTAGAGACCTTGAGTGGTTATGGAGGAACAAAAAAATGACACCATTCCATGGGCTAGTAGTGCCCTGCTTTAAACTTAGTGAGTCAGCAGTTACTGTCTGTACCAATTAGATTCCATAATTCAGTGTGTTCCATCTTGGAATAACTTTTATAGATGCCTTGACTTTTGTCTTGCATTGCTATTTCACTTATCCAATGTTTAGGTTGCTTCCTAAAAAAACACAAGGAACTGGGTGTGGCAGCGCGTACCTGTAATCCCAGCAGGATAAGGAGGCAGGAGGATTATGAGTTTGAGGCAAGCCCAAGCAAAGCTAGCCCCTATCTCAAAAATAAAATAAAAAGGGATGGAGGCAATGTTCAAGTGGATTTGAACCCTGGGTTCGATCTCCAAAAAGAAAAAAAAAAAAAAAGAAATAAAAAAGAAGAAACATAACTCAAGGGCAACAAATGTTCTAAATGGTATCTAATGAAGAAAGACCATTACAAATTTGATTGAGAAAATAAACACAAGTTAAAATATTCTTTTATCTAAGCTGGGGGTATAGCTTAGTGGTACAGTACTTGCCTAATATGCATAAGGCCTTGAATAAATAAATCTTTATCTCACAAAATTAATATTCTTACCATAAAAATGAAGTTACTTTTTTAGAACTGCTTAACCTATGAGTTAAGTAATATTCTCATTTCACCATAAATTTCAGAACAGGGCTGTTTTTTTTTTCTATAACACTGACTTTCCATCATGGGTTAATGACTGAAGCTTTTTCCTGTGGCTCTAGAAAACCAGATCATGATGAAAAGCCACATCATGCAACACTGTTACTAAAAAGCACATATAGTTTTTTTTGAAAGTCAGCCTATCTTGTAAAGACATTAAAAAGATAACAAAACAAAATTATATTGAAGAACCTCACTATTTTAAACACTTCCAATGCACTAGGCACTGTTCTAGGAAGGGAGGGAAGTAGGGAAGAAGGAAGAAGCCTCATTTGATACTTTTAATTCTCACCTTTAAAAAATTGGAATATAATTTACATTCAATAAAATACATAGATCTTTAAGTATCTAGTCCAATGATCCTTTACAATTTACATATCTATATAACATCTCAAACAGTAGACAGAATATTTCTATTATCCCCAGAAAGTTCCCCTTTGCCCATTTTTAGGCACCATCCCCTGCCCCCATCTCCAGCCACTTCCTTCTATAACCATGTATTAATTTGTTTGTTGTTGGATTTTATATAAATGCAATTATACACTATGTGCCTGGCTTCTTTTGTTCAACCTAAGGTGTGACTATTCTTGAAATGTTTGTTTACTAAAGATTCAGAAGTTTCCTGAATTTCTTCCTCTGTCACCAGCCACTTAGTTTTCATTCTTTGTTTCCTGGTTCCTTCTTTTCCTGACCTTTAAATGATTTCTTACTGTGGGGTTCAGATCTGAAATAGTTTCTTCTCCACCCACACTTACTCTCTAAATGATTTTTTTTCCAGGTTCATGGCTTCAAAGACCATCTAGATGTTGATGATCCCCTGCTTCTTACTGCTAGCCCTGTGTTCTCTCCAATGCAAGATTCACATCCAAGTACCTGCTTGACATCTCCACTTGGATGTCTAAGTTGCATCTTAATTGCAACATTTTCAAAACAGAGTTCAATTTTCTCTAAAACCTGCTACTCCTCCCTATCTTGTATCTATCTCCTATATGATAGATACCACCCTTCATCCAGATGCTCAGATAAAAACTCACACACATAGTTGATTCTTACTATTTTCTCATACCCACATCCCAAACAGCTAGTGGATTACACCTTCAAAATATATCCTAAATCCAAACAATTTTCATTATCTCCATTCTTACTATACCCCAGCAATACAAGATTTGTGAATGATCTTCCTCTTTGTACTTTGGTTCTTCCTGCCCAAACTTCAACTCCCTGCACTGATCTATTTTTCACCTGTCACCCAGAGTAGTATTTTAAAGCCATGAATTGGAGCTAAAGGTTTCCTTCCTAAAATCTTTCCAGTGCTTCCCCATCACACTGTGCATGTAATTCAAAGTCCTTACTATGGGGCATTCAAACTAATCCTTTATAAAGAATATACTTTTTCTTAATCAAGGTTCTCAAATAAGGTTTTGTCTTTTGAATATTCTTAAAGAGAAACATACCTATACTTTTTATTCAGTCCCTTGTTCTGAGGGCAAACAAAATATAAATATTCTCAAGAAAATAAACTCCTAGGTCTTAAAGTTTTGAACATGTAAAACTTTGCACAATGAACACATGAAACCCTCATGGTCCTCAGAAAGCTTACCCAGACAAAAGACTCTTAAGCAGAAAAAAAACACCTTAAAGATTTATACTATACTTTGGCTTACACTATTTCTCTCAACAAGTATGCCCTCTGTCCTTACCTAGTCAACTCTATCCAACCTCCAAGAACCATCAAGCTCAAATGAGATCTTGTGTAAACTAAACCTTTATTTCAGCCCAGCTGGAATGGTACATACCTACAATCCCAGCACTTAGGAGGTAGAAGCAGGAGGATTTCAAGTTTGAGGCCACCTTGGACTATATAGTGTGACACTCTCTCAAAAACAGAAACAAAAACAGAAAAAATTCCATGATTGCACTTATAAATGGAATCTAAAACAAAACAAAACAAAAATCAAATACACAAAGATAAAGAACAAAACAGTGGCTACCAGGGGTAAGGTGGGAGAAAGAAATGTTGAGATGTAGGTCAGAGGATATAAGAGCAGCTATTAAAATGATTAAGTCTAGAGGTCTAATGTACAACATGAGGACTACAGGTAATAAAATTATACTGTGTATGGCATTCACACAAAATGAGTAGATTTTAGCTTCTTCTGCCACAAACCAAAAATGGGCAGTTATATGGGATGGTAGATACATTAACTTGCTTCATTATAAATCTTTTTACTATTTGTGTGTCCTATAGCATAACTTAAATATACATAATATTTTTAAAGGAAAGAGCATCAGTGAGCTATGGAACAATTTCAAGCAGACTTTAGATATAATTATAAATTAGAGTCCCTGAAAGGGAAGAAAGGGAAGACAAAAAAGGTATCTGAAGAAATAGTTGTCAGAAACTTTCCAATCTGATGACAACTCCAAACCCACAGATTCTAGAGGTTCAATGTACCCCAACACAAGAAACATAAGCATAAGTAAAACAAACCATCATAATCAAATTACTTAAAACCACTGAGTAAGACCAGCATGATAGGGCATACCTGTAATCCCAGAACTTGGGAGGCTAAGGCAGGAGGTTCATTAATTTGAGGCTAACTTGGGCTATAAAGTGAGACGCTACCTCAAAAACAACCCCCCAAAAAAGTGAATAAAGAAGTATCTTAAGAGCAGTCAACCAGAAAAAAAATCAGGTAACATACAAAAGAACAATGACAGCAGACCTCTCATTGGAAAAATAAGCACAAGGTCTAAGAAAGTTAAAAAAATTGAACCCACAATTCAGAACCAAGTCTCTCCCTACCTCCGAAAAGCTATAGCCGGGTGTGGCTTACACCTGTTATCACAGATACTCAGGAGGCAGAGATGAAGAGAATCGTGGTTGAAGCCAGCCCAGGCAAACAGGCCCTATCCTGGAAAAAGCCATCATAAAAGAGGGCTAGCAGAGTGGCTCAAGCAGTAAGACTGCCTGCTTAGAGGCCCTGAGTTCAAAACCCACTGCTGCCAAAGAAAAGTTAATGATCCATTACCACTACAAGACCCTCCACTACAAGAAATGTTAAAACTGGAGTAGTAGAACATGCCTGTAACCCCAGCATTTTTTTTTTTTTTTTGGTAGTACTGGGGTTTGAACTTAGGGCCTCACACTTGCTAGGCAGGCACTCTACCAGTTGAGCCACTCCACAAATCCTATAATCCCAGCATTTGGGAGGTTGAGGCAAGAAGATCACAGATTTGAGAGCAGCAGGGATATACAATGAGACTCAGTCTCAAAAATAAAATAAAATAAAAATAAATAAATGTTAAATGAAGTCCTTTAGGCCAAAGTAAAATGATACCAGATAAAGACATAGCCAATACAGACACAAATATATAATTTTCATGTTTTTATTCTTAAAAATTTTTTAAAGGATCATTGATTTTTAAAGGAAATGTATTTTATTGTGGGATTTTCAGCACCAAGGCTGTTTAAAAGCTCTTATAAGACCAGGCAAGGCAGTCCATGCCTATAATACCAGCACTTGGAAGGCTGAGGTAGGAGGACAGTGAATTCGAGGTCAGCCTAGGCTACAAAGCAAAACCCTGTCTCAAAAAGAAAAAAACAAAGGACACCAAAGCTCTTATATTAAATGTGACTGAGTGTTATATTAATTGAAGGCAAACTGTGACAAAATTTTCATTGTACTATAAACTGAAGCAACTACTTACAGAAATAAAAGAAGAAAAGCAAGGTATAGTTAAGCCAACAAAGGAAATGAAATCATAAAAAATAAATCACGCCAGGTGTAGGGGTTTATGCCTATAATCCTAGCTACTCAAGAGTGGACACTGAAAGGATAGCAGTTTGAGGCCGGCCCAAACAGTTACCAAGACCCCATCTCAACCAATAAAAGCTGAGCATTGGCCTGTCATCCCAGCTACACAGGAAGTATAAATAGGAGGATCAAGGTTCAGTCTGGACCAGTCATAAATGCAAGACCCTTTTTGAAAAATATCTACAGCAGAAAAGGGCTAAGGTATGGCTCAAGTGGTACCAAGTGCAAAGATGTGAGTTTAAATCCAAAGTACTGCCAAAAATAAGTAAGTAAATAAATAAAAACGAAATCAGAAAAAGAAAAAAAGAACAAGCACAGTTGGGTGAAAGAGAAAGCAAATAACAAAATTAACAGATCTAAACCTAATCATGCTTGGTGTCATGGTTCACGCCTGTAATCCCAAGCACTCCAAAGGCAGAGACAG